CACTTTTTCACCAGAAATTCATGCATCTTTTTTTTTCCACATACTCGAATCATCCCAACTTCGCCTTCCTTATCTTATCCAATATAGAGGCCATTCCTATCTTGTCTCGAATAACTTCATTCTGATCCTAGCTCTCTTAATATGCTCATACATCTAATTCATCTCAATGTTCTTTTATCTTTTGAACCGCGAGTTCGTGATGATCAATATTTTACCCCATATAATAATACCATATAACTATCACTTTATAGAACTTACATTTAAGATTCGTTGACACATTCTTATCACACGAGACCTCAATATGTCTACTTTTTACAATATAGTAACCTCACCTTCTCCATAAAGTTATATATAGTCCCAAACTGTATGCTAAAACCCTCGAAGCAAAAACCCCTCACACAACAATGGCAGTACTCACTTCTTCTTCTCAAAATCTCCAAGTCCACCGTTTTCCTCAAGATCACTATATTGACTCCCTCCGTTGGCTCCCTCAACTCTCCGCTTTCCACCGTCACATCATCCTTTCAGCTTTCGATTCCGAATCCTCAACTTCTTCACTCCAAATCTTAAACAGTTCAAATTCAAGCTCAAACCCACCAGAACTCACATTTCAATCTTCACTCACAACCCCATCAAGAATCACTTCATTGACAACTTCGCAAAACCCCAATAAACCCCTTATAGCTGCTTCCACGTTTTCGGGTTCGCTGTTGCTTTATACAGCTGATTTGGTTAATGGGTCGTTGGAATTTGTGGATTCGGTGGATGAAAAGGGGTTTCATTTGGGTCGGGTTAATGGGATTGATGTGAGTGAAAATGGGTCGGAGTTTGTGAGTGTTGGGGAAGATGGGAGGATTAATTGGGTGAGTTTTGTTGGAGGGGGGTTGAGTACTAGGAAGGTGTTTGATAGTAATGGATTGGTTTCGTATGGCGCAGTGAAGTGGGCGTCTCCGGTGGAGTTTGTGAGTGGTGGGTTGGGATTTGGTCTGCAATGGTGGGATCAACGACGCCCCGGTGGACCTGTTTCGCAGTTTAAAGCTAATTGGTAATGGGATTTTAGCTGCATTGCTATTCATTTCTTGTATATGTTGATATCTGAGCTTTTCGGTTGAATGTTCATGAATGCATATATCCATGGTGTATTATTTGTGGTTCTTTGTTAATTGGTTTTGGTAGACTTCTTACTTGTGGAATATTTGATAACAAAGTACTGAAGTGAAATGAAGTTGATGTGAAGTGAAGATGCTGACTTTTTATTGCAAAATTACCGTGGCGTCTCAGCTATCACCTATAGGTCTAAATCTTAGTTAAAGTAGATAAGAGGGAGCCTGGTTGGAATGAGGGAATTGAGCCATTATATATTTAAACAGATGATATGTTTCAGCTTAGAGCTATGCTACTATCTTGATATTGAGCTGTTGAAAGAAAACACAAAAGGAGGAGAAAAAAGTAATCTTTTACCCATCTCTTCAGCATGGACTTGCAATTTGGATCTATCTTGGCCCATAAAAAAATAGAAGATAAACTTTCTGTTGATTTTCAACTCCTTAGTCATAGCATGGAAGACTCTCTCTTTGTGATTCTATGTTATACATCTTTTACCTGGCTAGACTGGTGTTTCGTATTGTATTGAGGTGAACTTCTTTTTTTTGAAAGTGTGTTTGACTACATCGCAGGACACGTGGAACTACTTCTGGAATTGTACATTCAATTGATATTCATCCATCAAGAAAGCATACTTGTCTTGTAAGCTGATATTCCTGCCTTCCGTTTTAACTCTTGATTAACAATGCTTGTCACCCCTCGTTCCTTGACCCTTTTTTCCTTTTTGATAACGGTGGTATTTGAGTTAGCTTGTGCATACAACTTACCTGATATAATCAACCGGATACCTATTACCTTCTATCAACTAAGCTACCAGGAAACTCTACCTATCAAGACTTAGGCAAATGAGAAGTATTTTACCTAGTTTGCCTTTTTTGTGATTCCAACCATGGCCAAGGTCGTCAGCAGATCTTTGACCAGTAGTTCACCCCTCATTCCCTACCTTAACAAGCTGAAACATAAAACTTCAATTACAGTTTTAATAGCTAGCAGAAGGTGAACTTATGGTTAAATGGAACATAATTTTGAGAGGTGATAACTAAGAGAAGAAAGGCTGTGACTGACTACCTTGACTTTCAGTTGCTGATAAAATTGAAAGATTGTGCCACTTGAATGTGGTTAAAACATGTATTGATATTATCAGAAATTCTAAAGTAGTGAGGGAATCATGAGTGGCATTGCTGACAAGGAGTGCACCAGTGCCATTCAACGTCATAACTAGACTAGCAGAATATTTTTTCACATAGAAAAACTGTAGCTAATAGCATATCTATACAGATGTTTTCACAAGTATGTTATTTGTATTTAACCCGTGATAGATCTGATGGGATTCCCTTCAACAAATTCTTAATTGAAAGTTCATTTCTAAGAAATATGCTGAAGTCCAAAACTCAAGGGACCAAGTAACTGAAGTATCTTCTTTTCCTATTTTATTTTTTTCTCTTTTTTTTTTGGAGATGGGGAGGGGAATGAAGTGGAGATTAGTAGAAGCAAAATAACCAGGTCATTAGTACTAAGGTCAATTATTTTCTAGGTTATGACTGAGAATGCCTGGATGTTTGCTTGTTCAGCTTGCAAGGTTGTTTCAAGTTTAATGTCTATAATTCTACTATGTTTTTGAAGGCAGGAGGTTCCTCTGGTACTGTGTTTGCATGGGATCTTCGCTGGCAACAGCAGCCTATAATGCTTTCTGGTGTTGGAACCAGTGATTTGCCCATTCTTTCACCATCAGAAAGTGATGTTTGGGAGGTCCAGTATGACAACTATACTACTTCATCCAACTACCGAAATGTGTCAGAATCACGTGTTCTTCCTGCCATGATTTGCTCAGAGGATGGCATTCTTGCCGTAATTGAACAAGGTATAGAACATAGACCTTCTTTTCCGTGTTTTTTCGTGTATGAGTTGTTTCTGATGGTCTTGACTGGTTTGGTTCGTCTTTGTTTGCCCCAGGTGAAGAACCCGTTGAGCTTCTTGCTGAACCTTGTGCCATCAACAGCTTTGACATCGATCGACAAAACCCATCAGTATGTGAAACCTTATCCAATGATAACTTCGATGTGCTTGCGTTCTTTAAGAGCATCATTTCAAGATGTTTGGTTGCAAATAATAGTATATCATTGAAATAATGGGGGAAGAATATTGAAAAACTTGTTTGAGAGTATTTCAAGTAAAATAATGGTTTTCACTTGCAAAACTTCAACTTTTTACAAGTGAAACTCATGTCCAAACACCATTTCAACTTTCAAATACTCTTAATTGAAGTGAGATTAGAATATCACCATCAATACCTCTTATGTCCGAGATAATCCTATACTCCCTAGCAAATGTGAATTGAGTAGCATATCAGAAACCTGAAGCAGGGGCAGGAGGATCATCTGATCTTAGCATGATCCTCTACTCAACCAAACTGATAGAGAAGGTTGGACCAATCGAGCTAGGAAGTGAGGCTTGTGACCGGACCAGGGGGAAGGGGAGTCGGGTAAAACTGTATTTGCTGAGCCAAGCAACAACAACAAACCCAGTGTAATCCCACATGTGGGGTCTAGGGAGGGTAGAGTGTCCTTACCCCTACCTTTGAAAAGGTAGAGAGCTTGTTTCCAAGTTGGACCAAAATCAACAGAGATTGGTGTTGCAAGGGCAAAGTGAATATCACTTTGCTCTGTGTGTCCAGGCGCCTACGGATTCATCTTTTGCTTTGCTCGACATTTCTTTTTCATATCAACCTATTAATGATATGCATTTAACATCAAGAACATTATTACCTTGCAGGACATTGTTTGTAGTTTGGAGTGGGAGTCCATAGCCATCTTGACAAGGTCTTGACTGCTTCTTCTGAAGCTGAGAACTTTGGCTATACAGCAGCAGATTTTGTTGTATTTTGAATTTGCTATATGGTTGAATTCTTCTGTTAATTATAATTATTATGAGCATGTGTGTTTTTGTAAAGGAAAAATGTTGGCAAACCTGAAGGATTTACAGATATATATTGATAATATTGACCAACTTTAGTGTGTACATATAGAGTTATTTTTAGGTAATTTGACTAATCTCTTTTACATCAAATATTAACTTAAGACTTTATGCAACACTATGTGCTTCAACTAGAAAGTCAGCCCAACACTCGCTAGAACGATAAGTATTTCTTTATTTCTATTTAGAGGTTTTGAGTTGAACTTTAATTATGAAGTCGTTTTTGTTAGATCTATTTAGGATTTGTATCAATGTAAATATTGAATATCGGATGAAAATAAAAGAATTAGAAAGCCCATTAAAGTTTATGCCAAATCTTTATAAGTTTTTAATTTACACCCACTTGATTAGTGAGATTGGGAGGGTTAGTATTCTCTTAAGACGAGAGTAGAACATATTATTGAAAGTCTCAATTTCTATTCGTCAAAGTGGAGATTTTAATTTCAAAAGGTATTTAACTACTAGGGTCATCGTCAATCACGGGGAGAAAAGAATGAACTACTTAAAATCTCAATTCCTATTCGCTCAAGTGGAGAGTTCTACTCAAATCTAATAATCCCAAACAAGTCTATATACTATATTAACTAACATATGCTTATTTAATTGGAGTCATATTGGTTGAAAAAAATTTCTAAAGCTACTAATCAAATCCTCCCGACTGATCAAAACATAAAATTTGCACATCATCTCTCCCATCCACCCATTTTTTTTTACGAAGGATAAAGGAGAAAACAATATATACATTAAATCAATTGATTCGTCGTGACAGAGTTAAAAAAAAGAGTTTAAATGAGTAATGAGAGATAATATTATTAGTCATATGAGTGTGTCAAAGTGTAATTTCACAAACAATAAGGGTACTTTACTATATTTCCATAAAATTAAATTGAGGTCCATAAATTTTTTAGAAAAAAAGTACCACAAAAGGATAGAAAAAGAGCCATTTTCAATCCTCACATTATCCATATATCAAAAAAAAAAAAAAACTTCAAGAAAACAAAAGCTTCAATGACTCTAACAATGGCTTCTTCATCTTCAACTTCACTATTCTCCACAGTTCTAAACTTTTCCCCTCGAAAATCAACAGGTTTTACTTGCCGCACCTCTGTTAACATTCCATCAATTGCCAAGAAAACATCACTCAGTCTCAGTTCTTCAAGGAACATATCAAGTTTTGCCCCAATTGTCTTCGAGAAAGTTTCGAATGCTGCAACACCCACTAATGGAAATTCAAAGACATTGACTGTAGAGTGTCATAAAGGGTATAAAATGAAGACCCACAAAGTAAAGATTCTATTTTTATCACTGGTTTTGCTGTTTGTGTGTGTTTGAGTTTTGGTTTGTGTGGAGGTTTTCTGTTGGAATTGTTGATTTGGGTGTTTGAATTTGTGATAATCTTGGAAATTTCAATCCACAGCCTTTAACTGTAGTGTGTGGCAAAGGGTACAAAAGTTTCTATTTTTCTCACTGTTTTGCTCTGTGTGTGTGTGTGTGTGTGTGTGTGTTTGAGTTAGGTTTGTTGTGGAGGTTTTATGTGGGAATTGTGATTAGGTGTTAGGATGTGTGCCAAAGGGTATAAAATGAAGACCCTCAAAGTAAAATTTGCTTCTTTTTTGCTCACTATAGTGTGTGTGTGGTTTTGGTATGTGTGGAGATTCCTATGGGAATTGTAATTGGGTGTTTAAATTTCCGGAGAATCTTAGTAGTTAAGTTGGTTGACTATCTGAATTTTCAAGTTGTTGGTAAGGGTTAGATTCCCACATATTAATTCCCAAATGCATTTCCCCCAATTTTGGAAGGAAAAAAAAGAAAGTGTTTGAACGTGTCCCAAAGGAGACAGAATGAAGAATAGGGGTGTGCAGCGGTAGGTTCGGTTTTATGTATTATCGGTTTACAAGTATTGGTTTATTGGTCGGTTCGGTTCTCATTATATTTGATGTGTGTATGCATATGTGGAGATTTTCTGTGGAGAGAAAATGACTTGTAAAGGGAATGTAGATGCTCGGGCGCTCTCTTTTTCTATGTCTTTTACCTTAACTGTAAAAATGAAGACCACAAAGTAAAGTTTGCATTTTTTTTGTGTGTGTGTTTGGATATTAAAGTGTGGAGGTTTTCTGTGAGGATTGTGAGTTGGGTGTTTGAATTTGTGATAATCTTGGAATTTTCAGGCTTCAGCAAAGAGGTTTAAGGTGTCTGGTAGTGGGAAGATAATGAGGAGGAGAGCTGGGAAGCAGCATTTGCTTAGGAAGAAGAATACCAAAAGGAAAAATAGGCTCTCGAAAACGGTTTGACTTCTTTCTCTCAGAACTCATACATTCTATTGTGAAATCTTTATATAAATTATTTGCTTGTTATCAGTCTGGAATATCAATTTCTTGTCAAACCTACTCCGAATGCCTGAATAGATTTTAGAATTGTAACTTATTCTGTTTATGTCCCATGATGTCATATCTCATAGGGAATGCAACTTTTAATTCATTCGTTGAAGTAGAAATCAGGCGATGATCTTCAGAACATTATTTTAAGGACAATGCATTTTGCAAGAGTTCTAGTTTACGTGCATTTTTCCAACAAAGTTAGGCAACTTTTGCATATCAAGAAATCAGGACATAGAAAGAACTATCTCTACTCTATATTTGAGGAATTACAGAGTCATAAAAAAGTGTAGTAATTGTAGTAATGTAATGGTGATCAGTGAATTTAGGAAAAGACTCAGCTTTTATATCGTATTGATAAGACAATGAAAAGAGACACTCACACTTCTGAAGCATTCCATGGGAAATCATCTTTTTTGTGTGCAAATATCTAGTGCTAGTTTGCAGTTCCAAGCGAAGGGAAAGAACTATGTATTCTCTAGTTTTTGGTTATATATAGAACTCATTTTTGTGTCGAAGAATTATTATGTAGCACATGGTATGACTAGCGTTGATATTCTATTAATATTCAAATTTGAGATGTTGTGAAGAGAAAATATACTTAATTTAATCTCCTTTGGCAATTGCCATTAGCTGGTTCATTTGGATAAAAGGGTCTGTGGTTTCTTTACCCATATGATACTTCATGGAGTGTGCAGGTTGAAAACCCTTTAGAGTTATTCTCTTTACCCGTTAACCTTTTCTATTCTTCCTGGCCGTGTAGTGTGCCACACTTTAGAAACGCCAAAGAAGTTATCTTCACTTACTTGTGCAAGCTTCGTGCCAGCCAATGGCCCTTATCAACAATCAAGAGGCTGAAGCGCCATTCACATCCACCTACCGAAGGAACATGCTACTGATCGCCAACTCAAAGGACTGCATACTTCCAATTCCATATAGCTAACCCCAAGCTCTTCCATTGCCTGAATTAACAACTCGAACTCCTATCACAGGGTTTCTTGTAACTCTCTCAATATGGATACAATAACTGTGATGGAAATTTCACCTCTACCATCAATAGGTTTAGCCAGGGCATTTACAACACGACCCAAATAAGCCTCACTCACAGGTATCTGAGCAATTCTTCCCGCGGCTTGTACAGAACTTAAGTGTATTAGCTTTGGTGGCAGTAAATAGTACCCACTTCTGTAAATGACTGTTGAATTGGGTTTAGGACTACGCCTATGTACCAAATAAGCCTTGCTTTCTGATAGTGATGCAGAATCCTAGGTATTTGGCTAGCCATAATTAAGCTGACATGATTTGTTCACTAACTTTTGTGGATACAATAACAGCAACAGCTATGCTCAAAATCCCAATCTAGTTGGGGTTGGTTATCTTCATGATCTATTTTGCTTTATTTGGACCTGTTTCAACTATTTTTTGTGGATCTGCAAAATAAAAATGTCATTGTCGTAGCCAGTAGGAGCAGCAACTTTTTCTTCTTAGCAAATTGAGGAACTACGTATGGTTTAGTACTAACTAGGAGAGTTAAAATGTCATTTACGCATTTGTGAGATACTTGTTTTTAAGATAGTTCTGAACAGTTCATATGATGATTCCATGATTTCCCAATAATTTGTCCAGCAGGTCCTGTAAGTGTGCTGTCAAGTACAAGTAAATTACTTATCACATCCCGACGGCCAACACAATGATGTTTATTTCTTGTCATACGGACTCTAGCTCTAGTTTTTGGCATCTTTAATGCAATGTAAATGATTGTATTTTCTTCCACCGTGCATTTTGGGATTGTGTAATTTTGTTGCATGTCACTTTCTGGAAATGGCAAAGAAGCCCTCGTTGGCACCCTTTTACCTTTACTTTCCATATGTCTCTAATAAAACCACTTGTTTTCGATAAAGATGTTCTCAAATGGTGTTTGATTCATCCATATCCGCAGGTTCTCTCACTACCCTACCTATGCATTGCCTTTTCCTTCACTGTTTCATCGAAATTTGCACCACTTATCTGCTCATATTTATGATACCACCGGCCGAATCTCGCTCATGCCTTGTCACTTGTTAGCTACAGATTTGCTTGCCCATCTGAAAAAGTTATTACCCTTGTCAATTCAGTCAATCCTTTCCAGCTGCATTATGATTATGTGATTCACCAAAATGTCCTGCAACAAACCAAGAAGTCTATTGCTACTTTAATGGTACACTTTGGAATTAGTCAAGGTGTGGGCAAGCTAGCCCAAACACCACGATTATCCAAAAATAAAAGTTTGTTGCTACTTTGCTACCAACTATCAGACCTTACCTTCCTAAGATCAATGTCTAAGTATTGAAAGGCTATTCTTATTGCAGTATAGAATGAGTGATGGTTTAAGGGAATAGAAGATAAAAACAGATATAACTTGAAGCCAAAAACCTCGTGGATGAACGTGTGTGTACTTTCTGGCGAATGAACTCTCTAATTTTTGGAGTAAGATTTGTACTACTCTTTCTTCAAAGTTAGATGACTCAGCATATAATGTTTGTGTTACACAGGTACAAGTTGACCGCAGCGATTACAACAATGTAATCGGTGCATTGCCTTACTTGAAGGTAAACCGAGCCAAGTAGGTCGAGCTGCAGTTAGAAACATACTCTTCATCAAGTTGCCAGAACCCGACGGGATTCTCTCTTTTTGTGTAGAGGATGAAGAAACACCATTGCTTGATACACTTCTCCAACTTTAATCCATCTGAAGTTCTTTGTACTAATGATTTTTCATATCATTTAGACTTGTTAAGCACCAGTAAATTCTGTTTCTTTTTTCCCTTGTAAGTTTTACTATAAACTCTTCAACATCAACTTATAATGATCAATTTGTAAGTTTTTTGTGCAAGTGAGCTTCTATTTTCTTAACTTGCCTTGTATGGTAGTCATTTCTCCTCCCTTATTTTTCTTTTTCGGTGTCTGATACCTGCATTGCTAGACTATTCTTTGCGTTCATAGATTGTGATTATGATTTATGTTTATGCAAGATTACTATAAAGATAAGGATTCATATTTGTGCCATTAAGCGCACGTCATGAGTTTTAGATCATGCATCGCTGACCCTCGGAGATTTCTCGATTATCAATATAAGAAGTCTAGTTTCTTTGATAGTGTAAATTTATTAACTTGACCCCTCCTTGTTAATTGTTTATTTAGGTGTCCATCATGAGTTTGAAACTTTCAAGTTTCGAAACATGTCACTAATTTTCAAGAATATCTCGATTATTAATAACTAGTATAAATTATAGGAACCACATATTATAAGTACTAAATAACATTCTATCCCTTCTAGTTTTCTATTTACCAAAAATCCCTTAAAAATGATGTTTGCGGGATACATAGCGTTGTGCACGGGATACATTAGGTTTGATACATTCCACATAGCGGGATACATAGCGTTGTGCATGGAATACATTAGGTTTGATACATTCCACATAGCGGGATACATAGCGTTGTGCACGGGATACATAGCGTTTGATACATTCCACATAGCGGGATACATAGCGTTGTGCACGGGATACATGCGGGATACATAGGTAAAATAAGGGATTTTTGAAAATTTTGAAATAAGTAGGGATAAATGAATATTAAAGTAAGTAAAGGAGTGTAGTTAAGTAATTTGTCCTAATAACGATAAGTTTGTTTTCTTAAATCCTTATAGGCTTATAGTGGGGCTTGAGAAGGGTAAATACAATTTAACCTTATCTTGTAAAAATAAAATGTCATATTTTTGATAGACTCTCTACACAAAAAAGGCATTTCAGAGAGCAGTTCGAAAAGAAGAATATGCAAATGAAATCAGTAACATCAATAAAATAGAACACTATGAAAAGCTATATGTAACATATAAAAAAATAACAGTAACAACAACGAACTATTGGATAGTGCCTTTTAAATAATTGTGACTCTTTATATATTCTTTATCTTTATATATATTGACTCCATGTATATAAATTTTTCAAAACAACAATATTTTAGCTTCTTATGGGACTCCTTAGCCATATTTTTAATATTTATTTAAAATATCAATATTTTAGTTTGTTAAGAGTTGAGTTATGTATTTTTTTTAAAAATTGTTTAATTGGAAAGAAACAAATATTTAACAATAGAATAGAGAAAATCATGGGATAAAATATTTTAAAAAAGGTAAAAATCTTTCAAGTTTTTCATCAGTTGCGTATTTAAAGGAGAAATACAAAAGTGGGTCTCTATCCATTGTGCTGTGAAGAGTCTTTCTCCATTGTTCGTAAAAATTCCAAAACAAGTTTCAAATCAGTCGACTCTTTTTCGAATTCAATCTTTATCGAATTGACTTCGACGGATTTTTGAAACGATCGTTTTGGATAAGCAAAGTCAATTTCACGAATTTCTTTAGAGTTTGATATTGTCGGTGAAAACTCAAAAAAACGATTAAGTATTCTTTTTAATGGTCTATTATTTAATTTGTTTATAGGTGATATTCGTAAATCGACTAGAAAATTGGGTAGAATTTTTTTTTTTTTTATGAATGCAGTGGAGTGTTTGTATGTATTGAGATTTTAACCTTTTTACGAAATATTGTAGCCATTCTAGGATTATAATGAATGAAAGTGTGTGTTTTTTATTTTTGTAGCTGGTGTTTTTAAATACAACAAATATATTATAGTCCAATACAATTATGTAATGAGTAACTAATTTGGGGATACAATCAGCAAAATGTATGCGTTATAATAATTTATTGCTGATTTGTACTGAATACTAGATACAATTGAGTATATGATACACTTTTGATTTTTGTAACTGGTGTTTTTTAATACAACAAATATATTATTGCCCAATATAATTAGGTAATGAATAACTAATTTGGGATACAATCGACGAAATTTATGTGTTATAATAATTTATTGTTGATTTGTAGTGAGTAGGGGATACAATTGAGTACTGAATACAATTTTATTTTAACTAAGGAGGAAAAATACATAAATTGTTATAATAGTACATTTTGGATATATGGGGGAAAACCCTAGAAAGATGGGTAAGTATGCAGTGGGTGAATATTTTTTCCTTTTTATCGGATAGTGGTGTAGAAATTAGTCTAATATGAGACTGATTTGAGAAATAAAAGGAAAGAAAAATAATGATATTAGGATACAAATTATTTTTTAAAATATTGATATTTTGACATTTTTAATAATTATTTGAAAGTGTAGATGCATTTTGCTGTTAATGGATTCAGTTTACCCAATATTAACAAAGCATTTGTAACACCCCAGAAAATTTTCGAACTAAGACCCGAACCTTTCTTCGTAGTGGGTGAGATTTTTGCAAGGAATTAAAAATTTCTTAAGTGTTAAGGTCATTAGATGTAGCACCTTGAGTTCCAAAAAGAATTAAATTGGAAATAGCAAAATCTGAAATTTTGTAAGTTAAGCTAAGTACGAGTTTTGGGTCGACTTCAAACGACCATAACTCATAGCTCAGGATGCTTTAGGTGTACTACCATATACCGTAGGAAATATATTTGAATTATCTTTCCAACGCCGCCGAGTTTGCTAAGTTTCGAGGTCAGATGAGGGAGATATGGCCTTTTGAAGATTGGCTGTCCAGTTAAGGAAAGATAGCCGAAAATAAAGAGGGGTATTTTGGTCTTTTCCTTACCCAACCAGATTTAATTCGTTTTTAGTAATATTTTAAGGGTCTAATACTATTAGGTTCAGTTTTATAATCCTAAAATTGGCCTAGGGTTTTAGTTGAGAGTTCAAGAAGAGAAAAGAAGAGAGAAGAGGAGAAAAGAGGAGAGGATCAAGCGTTCGTCGAGATTCTTGCGTGTTGTAGCGGATTTTCGCCATGGGTTTGATCCCTAAGAGGTATGTAAGCTTCCATAGTGTTGGGTTCTTTCACCCACACGCCAATCATGATTTATTCAGCGTAATTTCGTTCTTGAAATTTATGGATTTAAGTTCTTGATAAGTGTTCTTGAAGTTTATTAAGTTTTGAAGTAAGATTCTGCTTAGGTCAACTTTAAACGACCATATCTCTTAGAATATTAAGAGTTACGTGAGCCATAACCTATCCAATTAAAGGTAATTGAATCTACTTTCCAACCCCACCAATTTCACGTCAATCCAATATCTGAGTAAAAAGTTATGACTATTTTAGTAACCTATACAGTGCTGTTACGAATTAGCCGACGGGAAAATATTGAAAATAATCGGTTTTTGTCTTTTTACCTCCAAGAAAGCCATCAACGAGTTTCTTGACTAATTAAAAAGCTCAAAACAATCAGATTTTCATCTTCCCTCATGAAAATCATAATTTTTGGCTATAGAGATTTTAAGAAACTAACTCGAGAATCTCAAGAAAGGTCTTCATGATTGTTTACCTTCAAGCTAGGGTTTCAAGGCTTCTAATCAAGTTCTTCTTCAAGATTCATCAAGATTCTTAAAGATTCTTCAAGATTCTTCAAGAATCTTGTTCTTCTAGGTATGTAAGGCTATCATAGTGTTGGACTAGTTCATCCTCACGCCCTACATCTACTTTCAAATCAGAAAAAGAGTAATATAGGATACTTTCCCTAGATTTGAGTATTCTTGAGATAAGTTGATTTTGAGTTCTTGAATTCACGTTTCTTTTAAAAGTTATATTCCTAATTATCGAATAGCTATATTGTTATTGAGATCCTTCATATCATGAATCATAACTCTTGAATTCATAATTCAAATTCAAGAGAGAGTTAAGATTAGAGTTCAAGAAAGCCTTTGAGTTCAATTGTGAATCCTTTGAGATCAACTATCGATTTGAACTAAGTTTTGAGGAAGTAAGTCAGAGAATGAGAAGATTCACATACATGAGTTTCATAATGTTATGTAGACCTACGAGTCAAGTCGTTCATGCCCATAAATTCCGCATGAACTCCAAAAGTTGAGTATCTTTGAGAGGAGTAGTATCTTCAAGTTCTAAGTCTTGAGTATTGAGTTCTGAGTTCCTAATCCCCTTTGAGATTATATTTTTAAGCATGGGACTATTACATGTTACCCATAAAGTCTTTGAGTTGAATTGTTCATGCCCATAATTCCGCATGAATCCTATAAGTCGAGCAGTCTTGAGAAGAGAAGTATCTTTGAGTCCTTGAGTTGAGTCGTTCATGGTCATAATTCCGCATGAACCCTCTGAGTTGAGCATTCTTGAAATGAGTAGTATTATTGAAGTTCTTGAGTTCCAAGTATTTGAGTTCTATCTATGGTTATTGAAAACCTTGCATTGAGTAGTTCATGTCCATAATTTGGTATGAACCATATTTTAAGAAGTCTTTTACAAACATTTTAACTTTGTTTTAAGACTTAAGTTTTGAGTTCAGTAAAGAGTGAAGAGTAAAGTTTGAAGTCCTTTTCTTCAAAAGTATATGGGGACTAAGTATTTCCAAAGAGTTTATAAATGTTTTCACATTTAAATAAGAACGGAAACTGAGATTTCCAAAGGGCCTTCGGGCTAGTTTTCAGAAAAGAGTAATAGCTTTCTAAATGAAGCAAGCAGGGAAACTGAGATTTCCAAGATAACCTTTGAGCTAAGTTTTTGAGCAATTATCTCAAATCAGCAGAAAAAAGTATGTTTTTAAAACATAAGAGCTAGTATATTTTGGGAGTAGTATTGAGCACCGATATGGGGGAGAGTTCAGACAACTCACAGCCCCCATAAACCATGTAGCCATCATGGGTAGAAAAGGGTCATACTTTTTAGATGAACCCTTTTCACATAGACTAGTGGATCCATTAGTAGTTCAGGTCCTATACCTTTGGCCGGGTACAGGATGCGCTGGCAGCGTGAGGTAGATCGTTGTATCATCACTATAGCTCTTATGTGATGGTTGTCGGTTA